TGGGGCGGGAGGGGAAGGCCTGATAGGAAGAGGGCAAAGAAGAGCCTCTACTTCTGGGGATAGAAGGCTTGAACAGGAGCTGCCTGTTCCCACACAGAGCTCCTAGCTCGCCAGACCTGCTCTCCATCCTTCCCCAACCTGCTCCTTCTGCAACAGCACCACCCCTTCAGCCCTCCCCTTTTTTTCTTCTCCCCCAGTAACCCTTTGAGAGCCTTTCTCCTGCTTAGTCCAGGCTTCAGGGATGGGAAATCCTGTTCCTGAGTACATACAAAGCATTAGGTTTCCAACTGCAACTCTTGTCCCCTGATGCGATTCTAAAAAAGAAAAGAAAAAGAAAAATCTAGGTTTTTCCCAGATCCCCTCCCTGCTCATCCCACCTCATTTTGTGTGTGTGCTATTTTTTTTTCCTCCAGAAAGAGGACATCTTTGGGCTGTGGCTACAGAGAAAGGAACAAGGTGTTCTTGGGGAAAAAAGAAATTGGTTTTACAAGAATGTGTAGGGGTAACTGGAATCCCTAGGAAGCTCCCAGAACCCCTTTGTTGAAGAGGGTCAGTGGAGGAGGAAGTGGCAAGGAACACATTTTCCCCTTTTGAGCCCCAACTATAAACACTAGAGCAATAGTTTTCCCCTCAGATTTATAAGAAGTCTAAAAAGTCCTGGGTGGTGTAGAGTATTGTGCATTGGGCTGCTAGCTGAAAGGTCGGCAGTTCAAAATCACTGGCTGCTTCTCAAGAGCTACAGGAAGCTTTCTGTTCCCATAAAGATTTACAGCCTTGGAGACCCAAAGGAGGCAGCTCTATTCTCTCCTATTATGAGTCAGAATTGACTCCACTGTCAGTATGAAACCCTGGTGGCACAGACAGCTAAACACTCAACTTCTAAACAAAAAGTTGACAGTTGAACCCACCCAGAAGCTCTGTGACCCAGAAGACCTGGAACTCTGCTCTCAGCAGCAACACAGCCTAGAAAACCCTAGAGTGGCAGTTCCCCCGCAGTCACAAGAGGTCCTTCTAAGTTGAAATTACTTCATTGCACCTAAAGGCCACCAACAATACAGTTTAGTACAAAGATCAGACATCCAGGCTAAATCACCTTAATCCTTCTATTCAAATTCAAAAGCACTCTTCCTTTGGGTGCATGACCTTTTCAAAAATACTTGGGAATAGGGTAAAACAGGGCGGTTCAATTTGGCATAAGGTTGTTAATCCACTTGTTTACCATCATACAGAGTTGCAAGGCTAGTTAATGTTTGTCATTTGAAGATTTATAAACATTCTATTTCTCTCTCAAAAGAAACACATTTTTTAGGAGTGTGACCATTATACAATAGTGATTGTTTTTTATGGCTATCTTGATTGAGGTACTTATCAAGTATTAGCTAAAATGAGTATATTTTCAGTGGAGAAAAAGACTTTTTCCCCTGATTATTTGAAGATGCTAAAAACCAACAAGCAGCAGCTCTGGTAGTGTAATAGCTTATAGGTTGGCCTTCTAAATACAAAGTCCATGATTCAAACCCCCCAGCCACTCTTTAACAGAATGATGACGTTTTGTGTTCCCTTCAAGGTTTACAGTCTTAACCCACAGAGCCAGTTATGCTGTGTCCTATAGCGTTGCAATGAATCAGAATCTACTCTATGGCAGTGATGAGAAAACTCAGCAGCAGCGGATATAGTTTACATTTTGACCAAGGATCAGAGCAGCGATTCTAGCACCAATTTTGCTATAAACAGACTGCCTTGGGTATGTCACTGGGCCGCCTCATTTCCCCTCCATGGGGATCAATGATATTCTAGATCCATCACCAGAGAGCAACTCATTTGCAGGATGTAATTCTTATCTACACCTGCGTCTGGGTTTTCACCATTGAGCCAATCTCTTCTCACATATGGATCCCTTCTTACAGTTCTCTTCACATTTAAAAATGAAATATCTACCAAAAAATTCAGAAAGCCCAATACCAGCGGCCGGTTTCTAAGGATGTACCAAGCACAAGTGGTCCAGCATACCAACGCACCCTGCAACGTGCTCCAAAGTGAGACTGAAGCTTCGTTGGTCTGCCCAGCCCAAATGGGTACATAGGTCACAAGGGACACCTAGAATGGGCCCCTGGGGCCTGGGTGAATGCTAAGAAGCCCCACCCAGTCTTCCTTGAGGACAAAGAGTCTTTAATGCCAAGTGAGGTTGGGAACATGGGGAAAATCCAGGGTTCTCTGCCCACCAGCTTGGCCCTCCCTGCCATAAGCAAACAACTTGATTTCTATATGGCTTCTTTTCCTCATCTATAAAATGGGGGGAATAACTTTACCTCCCTCTCTGAGTTGCTGTGAGCATTAACACAGAAACAATCCATGTATGATATTTATGATAGCGCCTGGCACATGGTAAGAACTCAGTAAATGCCAGCTGTAGTGACTACTATTATAACTTGATGTCTCCCTAGAAGGGTTCAGCAACCTGAAAAAAATCACGAAGGTGAGGCTCTGGAGTCTTCCTTCAAGAATCCCCAAAGGGTATACTCTAACCTGCTTCCCATGCAAAAGGAGGTGGCCTGAACCAAAATCCAGGAGATAAAAAGCAGGCAGAAAGAATCGCTGGGGTGTTACAAGCTAAATTCATGGAAGGGATCCTACCTCAGCTCAGGTATCCAGGTAATTCCATGCAGCCAGTGCTCTGTGACCCAGGAGGCCTGGCAGTGGGGGTGTGGCCTTTTTGCTCAGAAACTGCACAGAGAGTAGAAGCAGGGGAATCCCCTTTCCTGCTCCTTGGGTCTCTCGGGCTTGCTGCAGGGAGTCAGAAAGCTCCTGGCTCCAGAGGTGCCAGGAGACAGGAATACCTGATCTTGGGATTCCTCTCCTGAGCCCTGACAAGCCCTGGTCTCCTCTGGAAGGGTCTGGCCACGCCTAGGATTCAGGCACAGGGGCTGCATGGAGCTGGGCTTTCTCCCAGGGAGCACAGCAGAGCAGAAGGCTTAGTCAGGGCACCCGCAGAGATGATTGTGTCCTTAGAAGCCTACACGTGGGAGGTGGGAGCAGTAAGGACCTCCAGGTTGCACACACTCAAGTCCCTTTTGAAACCTCCCAATTCTCTCCCTAAGTGACCAGCAGAAAGAGCAATGGAACAGCCAGCTAAAGGCAGCCCTTGAAGAGGGGTTTGCACCTCCTCCGGGAAGAGACAGGTTAAGTGTGTGTCTTCCCTTCCCAGGAGCCACCCAAGGAGTTCCCCACCTGGGATTGAAAGGGTTTAGTCCCTCCGGGAGGCAGAGGTTCTCCCTACTGCAAGCCCTACTGCAAGCTTCCTCCAGCAAAACATCTGGGAGCCTTGAAAGCATTTCAACCAAACGCTGG